CCATACATAAAGGACTGCTTCAAGCTATTATGCCTTTTGATATATCACAATGGGTGGAACAGGAAGCCAAGGACTCAAAGGAGTTGCACCACACAACAAATATCGTCCAGTTAAGTTACACTGGTCTGTCAGTGGGCGCCGTCGCCGCCATACGCATTCGGGTGATCAATGGTAGAAGTCAAGGACCCCGGTCTGCCCCATCCTATTTTCTCTCGAGGTATTCCTTAGAGAACTCACCCTCAGAGGAGCCTTCGGCGAGAAAACCCAACCCACAATCCCCTGAAACGAACGATAAAAGCGTGTCTCCAGCGCTATAACCGGATTACCAGACTACTGGTTGTTCCTCCAAGGGAGTCGGATAATCCCTCGATTGAAAACCCCAACGGATGGCATACGAGACACCCTTTGATTGAATTTGATCCTGAACTGAAACGAGTAGAGCTACCTGCTACCCTCTGGTGAGCATTCTAGATGAGAGGTGAGCTGGGTATTTTGGAGTGCTGACCCCAATCAGAAAGGAACATGAACTGGAAACACTGGATTACCAATCATTCTCCCACGAATCAACCTTGGTGGACTAAAGGTTTCGGGGAGAGTCCCACTTTCTTCGGTTATAAATATCCCAACGCCATTCAGCGTATCACCGATGAGTCTACGCGTATCCACAGACTGCCGTAGTGCACGCTACTGATCCAGAAAAAACATCCGAGTGGTACCTTAGCTCCTTGCACGGTGCTTAATTTGGCAACTTAATGTATGTAGGTATACCGGCAGATAGCCCTTGTCCACACACGTGAGTCGTCCAACGTTAACGTTAACCGTCACTTCGAAACTCATCCCAGAAACACGAGTGCGACCATCACTTTGGGTTCCCCGAATACTAAACTTGTTCACTTGTACAAACCACTGTTCTCTGGATAGCAAACTGCAGCAAAAGGTCAGGCTCGCGTTAGATTGGTAATAAGTACAAGGCCTCGATCGGCTCTATTGTATTTGTCCCTGGTGAACAGCAGGCTTTGTACTGTGTGAACAATGCGTTCAAGATCTCCGGAACATCAAAAGACGAAATTCTCTTTGCCGTTTGGGTGCAGGCACTGACTAACTACTCCTTCCATTTGGACGCAGGAGCCACAGATGAAAGCGGATAATTAAGACAACGTTGTCTGAGATAAGGCGAGATGACTCAGTGGTTAGAGCGCGAATTTACTGACCCAAAGGTCCCTGGTTCGAACCCGAACTCGACCTCCCGACTAGGGCAAACTTGCTTGGGCAACCTGGCAGTAGCCCAGTCCTCGTGCTTCCTTTGGGTGGCACGGCAGTTAGGCGCCGAAAGGGTGCTACAGCTGAACGAGCTAAGGCGTGAACAATCTGGTTCGCAGACAGGGATCTGATGATAAAAGCTCAGGTGGGCGACTTCCCGTGGGTGTGCGGTGTAGTGGCAACGGCAAATGACCATATGAACTTCATACGGACTTTCATCTGTTCTCTCTTCTAACAACCTCCATCAGCGTATGGGTCAACAGGCCATTTGGCACCCGCCAGCTCCTGGCCAGCCACAGAAACGAACCAACGACACGGCAGAGGTTGCACCCAAGATGTACTGCCGATCGCCAGACAATTCCGATCATGCCAGAGTATCTACGAAGCTGACAGCACTTTCAAGTGAAAAGAGGAAATACCGCTGTCATGAATATTCTTTGTGCTCACATTATCGTTTTGTATTAACCATGCTTTCGCCTTCATTTTCAGCTTATGTACGTCTATTCTTAGACAAGTAAAGCGCTATTCATTCTTGTTCTCGCGCTCAATCAGAATCGATATTCTATTCGTAACAACCGCATCAACTAAATTCCCGTTACCCAAATATTATACTCTCTGTTCACGCTTATCAGCTCCCCATTAACAGGGACCCCGGACCATCAGTTTTATATTCGCGGTGTGATTTACTTATCAGTTTATGGCACTCTTGCCCTCTTTTCAACCCCCTGAGAATCTTGAAGTCCGTCAGTGCGGTCCGGCTGGGAGCGACACCAATCACTTAAAAAAAACTTGAAATTGATGGAGAAGCCTCGTGGGTCCGATATGTCATAGAGAGTAAATTCGCGCCTGCATCAGGAGACTTTCAGAAACTCCTCAGGTTTTTCGGGAGTCCATTGCAGAGCCCATTAGCCCCTGATCAAACGAGACGGATAGCTCGCAACTAACCTAAGAGGGATGGAACGTCTATTATAACGCCCTCCCAAACATTCCAAGTGGACTCCTAACTAGCACACCACGGCTCATGAGTTTAGACCCACTCTGTCCTCCCGAGGCGGCAGTTGTTAATTTAGTGGTGCATTCACATTTTGTTGCCAAGTTATATTGTCCACCACTCAACCGCTACCGGTCACCACACGGTAGAGAGATCTCTGCAGGTTGATCGGTCCCACGGTATTTGACGCACACATCCTAATAAGCGTGGTCTGTGAGGTTAACCCACCGTAGGAGCTCCTTTTCCTTAAAACCACCTAGCGTACCTGAGTATGACTAATCCATTGTTCCCACCAGACCCGGCCAATCCCCCGAGGACACCAGTAGTTAGACATTGACAGCTTTCATATATCTGCGCGTAGAGGTCACGTTCCTCATCCATAGAGCAGCATGCGGTGCATAATCTACCCTCGACAAACTGAATCAAGGTCCAGTTTATCGGAAACTATACAGCTTTCAGGGTAATCAAATTATTTACGTTGACTGGCTGATCTGCAAGCATGAGATTTGGGTTCGATCCCACCCAGTCTTATGGACAACCCAAGAGGTGAAAAGGCATCTCTGCCAACCGGCTGATATTGAGGGCCAAAATGCGCCTCATCGCACATACTTTTTTATCCTCAAACTGGTGGTCATCAGGAAGATAACCCATTTTTAACGTTCAGAAGGGTCTATGTACATTAAAGGATGGCCTGGCAAAGACCAATCCGTGGGAGGAATTTCGTATTGCAATAGTTATATTTTATTGCATTGTGCCCTTTACAATGTGCGAATCAATTACTTTCGTTTACTCACCCACTGAATCAATTTTGCATGCAAAAACTGAATAAGGAAGATCAGTACCTACTTCCCCATCTGCTTGACTGATAAAAATGTGCGACGTGACTGATTTTAGATGAGCGATTCTTGCTGATTATTTGAAAAGTAGAAACTAGGATCCAGTGGTAGCTTCTTCGACATTTTAGCGCGCAGCAACAAGACGATGTGAACCGTAACTCACCAAGGATCAGTGTAGCAGAGGCATAATCCAACTCTTCTTCCGTCTGTGGCGTGGTCGAAAATACTTCCTCTAGTGTGCGGCACAGATTCCGAAAACAGTTCATTTCAAACAGGACCGAAAATTCCAACAAGTGTGAGTTGGTGGGATTGCCTTGATCCGCTATGTCCAAATTACCGGACCGGCAGGTGCAAATGGCGGAGGAAACGCAGAGCGAAACTCCACCGCAACCTGTTGAAAGCGTGTGACACGGAGAGCAGGCTGCAACGTAGCCTTCAGGTTACACGTCCCTAATTGGGTTATTTGCTATCAACCAATGAACGAAGTGTACCTTTCTTTCATTTGATCCACCTACGCACCGGAACAGAATGGAGCCAATAGCTAGACAAAATTGATGATTGGCGGCGGTCACGCGACTGTGGCGCGTCACTGTATCTGTTTGGCAAGGATATCTTCGTGTGCGTGAAAGACGAACAGCCGATGGTGGGCAAGGCGTGCAACACCATGGTTATTCTGAGATAAAAGGTGGCTTTCCGAAATTAGGAACAAGAAATAAGGCTCCGATTTTTAAATCTCGTTAATGCACGATACATACATATGGAAGGGCGCTGCTCCTGTACTGAAAATGGTGACAAATGGAATGGTCGCAAATACAATTTGAGCACTATTATTCTCACACAGTGGGGTGTGCCATTAATCGCACGTGGTTTTTCGTTCAGTTTCCTATTGTGATTTGCACCCGTCGATGAATTTTGCTTTACATTACATCAGAATATACAAATGTATTTTTGTTTTACTGTGAAACAAAAGAAAGTGGTACTAAACTATTGATTTGGCACAGTAGTCCGAGGAGTTTCTTTAATCGCTAGACAGATGGGACGGATTTACAGTAAACCACTGTGCCACGTGTCCTCTGCAGCATATACTCATCCACAATGACGTTTTCAGTCGATTTCCCAGAGACTTCGTTTCTTTTCTCGAAGTGAATTGCGAAACAAGCGAGCATTTCTACTAACGATTGCCCCTGCAGCCCTGTTTCTACCTCACCGTTTCTACCACAAGTTGAAGAAAAATCGTTTGAACCATGCTTGAACCATTTAAACTCAATCACAGGCACAGTTTTACTGCACAGTCTACACCTTCGCTGCTCTGGATTGATAATACCTCGACCGGATTCGTCAGGGGTAACTGTAGAGAAGTGTTACTGTACACTGATTTGAAAGAGTTGTAAAAAGAGATTCCCGGTCGTGAAAAAGCCACCCACTCCATGTTTCGTTCGGAACAAAGCAGAGCATACGGAAAGCAGCTTGATCCCATACACTATTCATATGGTTGCTGAAAATCCATTGACAGTCCACTGCTGGTTTCGCTCTTCTTGACGCTCATCAGTTGGGCGCAGTCCCCGAGATTCCGTCAACCTTGTGCTCTACTTGAAACCGAATTGCGAACTAAACTGATTTGCAAACAACTTTGGTCTTGCGGGCAACTCACATGGAACCCAGCTGAATCTCTCGTCTATGATCTATTCAATCAACCTTATGAGTAGTGTGTTACGTCTATATATGTATCGCGTTATATTGAATATCGTAGCAACTGAAACGTGACGCGGTCTGGTGCAGCAAATTCAGTTGTTTCAAAACATTATGAACGACAGATTAATCTGGGTTCCAGGTGAGTCTCCCGAATGGGCGTATTTCGCTAATCTCGACCCCATGTTTAGGTACCGAGTACCAGCAGGTTTATACACGCAATAATATGCGTCTACCAAAATCTAGGTACCCTAACATAACAAAGTATGCATGAACTCATTGATCAAAGAAACAAAGGGAACGGACGTCTTGCTTATGACACTGATTTGATTGTGGAAACTGCTTAGTAGTTCCAACAATGAGATTTGCTCAGCCATCACTTATTGCACAGGTACCTTCTTCACTAGGGTTCGTTCACGCACCTCGGGGTTTCAAACTACGGTTAGCCTGTCGCAAACAATTTTCTTCAGTAACACTCGGCCCTCATCCAGAAAACTGCAGTCAGCTTTACAAAAGTATCCCCTTCGAAGCCTACATTTTGGCAAGTCATTTGATTGCGAATCATCATGTCCAAACAGACTTTCGGTCTTGAAAATTTCAAGATGGTGGATTTCTTAACAGCTTCCCATCCTTTCAGTAGAGCTTGGTAAATAATATGTACTTCTTAACTGAGTACTGTTTCTCTTTTGACGCAAAACTTCGTCAAACAAAGCTTACCATTCTTTCTTCTCCTATCTTGATATGAAGATTTTTGCACGATTTATTTACATAGCTTGTATGTTATTTGTGTGGGAAAATAAGCGTTCAAGCCTTTGAAATTTTTCCTCAGGAATTTTTTGCGAGGGTTGTGACCAACAGAGTTTTTTCGTTGACGTTTTTTTGAAGAGGAGGACGACACCTACATTTTATCACCGAAAAACCCCCCAAGAAGATAGCTTACTGCCTTAACTGCAGCAAATTGTCGGGTTGAAAAGGATCCCAGATTTGGAAAGTTACACAATTTGGCAGAGAAATCGCGGTGTAACCGGCTGGTTAATTCACCAACAGCAATCGGTTATCTGTTCTGAATACAGCATGAGGAACAAAAAGGACGAACTGAAGCACCAGACATTTTTATTCTGTTTGCATAGCATATGTACTGAACAAAGTACACTAGTTGTACAGCAGTTAGGACACAATACGACAAATACCTTTGAAAAAATGGTAGATAAAATCATCCAGCGTATTTATAGCCTAATCGGCTAGACTTTTTCCGTCAGTTACGATAGTTACTTTCTTGTTTGTTTCTCGAAGTTGGTGGTACGGAGACGGCTCCCAACGATTCGCACAGTCCACTCACCAGATCCATTAAAAAATGCTGAGACAGTTGCATTTGAGAGGCCTATTTCGGTACTTCGTTCTGGCTACATTGTTCCGATGTAGAACTCTGCCACCACTGACTTCCGCTTAGTCTTTTGTCTTGAGAACTAATAGAATTTATGTCGGCAAATGGATGCTTCACTGGACTAACTGCACCTCGTTCACACCGATACAGTCACATTGGAAGGGGTAATCCTCAATCGGACGCTCATGGTACATTGGGATAAGATACTCAGGTTATGCTTAGATGTCGCCTGGATAGTCCATTGCTGTTCCAGTGCTACCGGTGTCAGCATCGTCTACTTAAACCGACAGCTATTTTCCCGACCTCACAACGATACCGCCAAAAAACCAGAGTCACGTAGTCGCTAACAACATTGCAACGGGTGACGGGAGCTAGAAATGCGTGTCTGAGCCCAAATCCTAAATCGCTTGACTGTTCTTCCAACATACTATCAATTTATGCCGGAAATGTTAAGTTTCCAACCAGACAGAATGTGCTTACGCGAACACCAAAACAAAGTCACTTTGTGTGCACCAACATTACACCATTTGTTGTAACACAGCTGTCGCGTGGTAGTTAGTCAGCGAATTTTAGTGAGATTTAGACACTACATATGTTCGGTGCCAGACAGAAAACACTTCAAACTTTAAAATCTAACGAAATTTAACTTCAGTGTTAAACTTTGACAAAGAATGAGCAAAAGTACCAACGAGTACCGGTATTTACACGATTTCACATCAACTGAAACTAACAATAACAATCATTTGACAAACGCTCGGTTCAATGAATAAAACATTTTTATTGCTATTTATAAACAACAAGTTATTTCACCTACTCAAATGAGTGCTGAAGAGGAGACTGTTCGAACGATTTGTGACAAATGGTTATGGATAACGTTTAGCGATTTGTTTGGTTTCACAGGAACGTTGGTCTATATCAATTGTACTACAGTATTTCAGGTCACCGCTCCCTTGGCTTTATGTGCATGAGATCATCCTGCCATTCAGTATGCAGCATGCAAACACTGAAGCCAAAGGCCACAAAAAGACATGTAATGATACGACATTCGCTGCAACTTATAAACTGGCGACTCACAGTGCCGAAAGTCATATACCCCAAGAGGTTTTCCCAGTAGAGGTCAGTTTCATGTGTAGATAACTGTTTCCAATAATGAGTTAATTAGTGAGCTATTCCTTCAGGAAAAGACCATTCTGTAAGGAAGGTTTCATTACCCCTCCCGATTAGTGGTCTATGTATAAGAATGAAGATGGACATCACTTTTCGAAGATTAGGATGCCGATCACTGATGCACTTAAAGCCAAGGGGGCGGTGGTCTGAAATGTTCTAGTAGTACAACTAATGTAGAAGAACCTTCCTGTATAAAAAACAAATCGCCAAACGTTATTCATAACCGCTTGTCACGAGTTGTTCAGAAAATATCCTATTCAAATGAACATCACCTTTCAAATAGTAGATTACCGGTCATTCAGAATTTTTTTAAATTTCTAACAGAATTTAGAATATGTCATGTTAAATTCACTCATCCCTTTCACAGTTGTGTAAAATGTTGGATGCGTGATGGACCTGGCTTGATCTTCTCCATGACTCGTGATGACGCTAACACCTTCCCAGTTGCAAGAGAATAAAACAACCAACAAGAATCGACGCGGAAGCCTTGATCAAATGTCACTCAAAATAACGGTGGTTTGTCAACGCTTGGTCAACTATTGTCGATAAAATTTTATAATAACTGGACATGGTGCACATCTAATGGTCTTACTTGGGCCGATCTTGGGAAAGCCGATTATAGTCACGTCTATCTAATAAAAGGTTACTGAACACAGAGACATCGTCGCAAACACTGAAAGCACACTGTCATACAGTTTTATCTTACTGGTAAGACGAGTTTCTGGGAGCGAAAGGGTCTTCCAACTTCCCAGGTTGTATGTACTTACTCGGAAGCTTCAGCCTTTGGATCCGTTGTACATAACATCTTGCATCGAAACCCAACAATGGATAGCTAGCTGGCCTGCACCTTACAACTGCAGTGGGCATTTTGATCAACGGAACAACCACGCTTAGTGACCGTAAATGCCTATAATGGTAAACAGAACTGTATCGTCCACCGGTCCACATACAGGTCCTGTTTCCTGTTGAGACAAGCTGATTTCTGTAGTCCATTTCGAAATAGGAGCATTTGTCTTGTTTGGAAATATCTTCCTCCTCTCTGTTATTCTCCATTCGACATAAACTAGATAGTTCGTTATTTCCTGAAATATCACATACAAGCTGCTCAGCACGTCCGCAATTTGAGTGGGTCTAGATCAGTTGGTTCATATGCCACGACTTCTCAGTCAGTGTCGCGGTCGCTTGAAAGAGGCTGAGCA